CGCCGCGAGGCACGCAAACCCCCAAGGCGACTTCCCGGGAGGCTGAGCAGCACCCCGGCTCCACCCTCAGGATGCTCACGAGTGGAAGGAAATCTCTCTAAAGCCCGATGTGATCGGTGAAAACGGAAAAGGAACTCGGAGGCGGGATGAAGAAGAATGCCGGACGATGAAAACGCGGGCCACAAATAACACGGGGACAGAGAGTGAAAAGATGCGGCCACGTGTTACAGAAGGTTCGCGTTGGGCCCTAAGGTAAGGGCGGCCGGAACATCCCGTTTCAGCAGCAAGACAAGAGCGAGGACGACAGGGATGGGAGGACAAGGACGGAGAAGAGGGAAGTCACGGGACACGGCGACGCAGACCACACACGCGAAGACGGGCCCTGCTGCAGCGTCACGGCGGCCACGACGCGTCCACCAAGTACCGAGCCTGAGCGCTCGCCAAACGGCCCGTTCGCTGATACGCACTTAGAACTGCTGGTCTCATTGCCCCGACCACCGACCACCTTAACTTTTCGGGAGGATGAGGCACATCTCATGCTCTCTAATAGGTCCCCTGCTCGGTTAATGACTTGGTGTTTCCTAGTGGGGATTTTTGCTGTTTTCAGATCACAGGCTAAATTTACCAATTCTTCGGGATTCACCAGAGTGCACGTCTCCATAGGCAAAAAACAAAACTAAACAAAGAAAGGAGGATCTCCCCACCAAAAATTGACACCGTCTATAAATCACTGGACTTGCTAACAAAATGCTCTCCTTCCAGGGTTTGCAAAGCTCTCGCCTTGACCTAAGCTGCCAAGCAAGAAATGACACCGTGTCCTGTTTCTTGCACTTGACCATCTGATAGCCTGAAACTGCTCTGATGTCCCCAGCCTGGCCTCTGGACCCCTGCCACCCACTCAACTCCAGTTCCTAGCCAGGATTGAGAAATGCCTGTACGTATCTCACCCAGAGGCCTGAACCACTGAGAATCAGAGTCTTAACAGTTTGGATTAGCTGAGTCTTTGGGTAATTTATCCAAATTTTGAAAAGCAGCCCTCTCTTAACCGCTTTCGATCTAGGATGTTCCCAGCAGGAGGCAGGAAAAACACATCACTATTATTTTCAGTCATAAAATTTCAAAATGAATGAACCTCCCACAGATGTAGACAGTAAAGTGACATTCCTCTGGAAATAAGTTTGGGGGGGGGAGAGGGGGAGGGAGGGAGAGAGAGAGAGACAGAAAGAGAGAGAGAGAGAGAGACAGAGACAGAGACAGAGACAGAGACAGACAGAGACAGACAGAGACAGAGACAGACACGGAGGGAGAGAGAGAGAGAGAAGAAAAAAAGAAATCGTTTTGAAATGAGAATGCACCATAAAGACAGACACTGAGAGGAGGCAGAACCAAATGGACCACGATGTTTATGCTGACCAGTCACCCACATGCTCCCTATGCCCGCCGCAGATGTCATTCAAGGCACCTACCGTCTACATTGTAGACTTTCAGCCCCGCCATGTGCTTGGCTGCTCGGAACTTGGAGGCTGTTAGGAGGTTGGGGTTATAGATGGTGAAATCTTTATAGTAATTTTCCAGAACCACCAATGCTGCTCGCTGGATGCTGAGGGAAAAAAAGGCAAAATTACTGCAGAGCTTTTTCACTGAACCAGCAGGTCCCAAGTGAAAATAAAAATCCTCTTTGGGAGTCGGGTAAAATAACAGAGCACCGCGGACAGACGCACACAGAAGGCCACTGGGTTTCATCCCCGCTTTTGTCACCAGGATGAGAATTTCAAGATGAAACTCAGTCCCGCTGTCAAGTGCCTCTGTGCCCTCCTCTCCCAGGCTATGTCATTAGCCATATCCCATCTAGCCCATATTGAGAAAAGAATAAGTTATAACTTAGAAATGTTTAGGCCACACAGAACTTCCCTATTTTTCCCAGTTCACAAAAGAGGAAACCGCGGACCCCAAAATTGAGACGTACAGATGGCTGCCGAGCTCACAAGTGGAAGAACAAAGTGTGGATCTGGGCGTCTCGGGTCCTAAGGCGGTGTACCCCCCACCCCACCGCACCCACCCCAGCACCCCGGCGTAAGGAACGCTGGGGTGTTCGTTGTCTATAGATCAGAGCTACGCCCACGCAGGGCATGGGGCATCTGAAAGCAGCAGCTGCAGATGTGAGTTAATCCTGATTCCGCCTCTCTGCTCCACCCCATCTTTCCCAGGCCAGCTCTGTGGCCCCAGTGTCCTGCCGTCTCTGATCTGTTACCTGCTTTGAGGGAGAAGGGTAGGTGAGGGAGGGCAGCCACACTCAGTACTGGCAGCGAAAGGACACACACTCTTCGTCTTAAATGCGGGGTAGACTTGTACGTAGCTCACCTCATTGGACCCCCACCATCATTCAAAGTCAGAAGACTGAGGTTCAAAGCTCTGGGGCCTGCACGACAGCGTGCGTTTACTCAACAGTAGGGCTGGGGCTCCAATCTGCGTTGGCGAACCTCCACCTCGTGCTCCTTCCCCGTGATGTGTGGCCTCGGGGACGGAGTACGAACTGCCGCCAACCACCAGCGCGCTCAACTCTACAAAATCATCTGTATTTTGCCCTTGTATTTCCCTTCCCAGTTCCCTAAGCAGATGAGCTTACAAGGGTTATTTACAGTAGCCCGGGCACCAGGACGGGGCTGCCTCTGATTCCCGGAGGACCATGCTGCCTCCCACAGCTCTCAGGGGTCTTCACTTGACACCGAGCTAGCGTAGCCCCCAACCCATCAGCGGGACACGTTGCCAACTCACCCCTCATCTCCCTTTGAGACTCTGCACCCCCTCCTCCCCACCCAGAGTTGAACACAGAGTCTAAAAACAATCTAGACACCAGCCAGCCAGCCTCCTTGAGGGCAGAGTCACAGCAAAGCTGTCTTACTTATACCCCAATGGCCTCGATCTGTCTCTGCATTCAGCCTGTACTTAGCACCAAACTAGCTATGCACACACGCATGTGAGGCTGGGGACGTGTGGGGAGGCCAACCCTGAACACTGGAAGTACTAGATTTCTAGGAGCCAATCCACATTTTGAGAGCCCTGGCTATTTGGTTGCTCACTCGTCATTTTCATATTTAAGCACTGACTGTCCGCGGAGCCCCAGGAATGCAGAGCTAAGGAGGGAGGAGCATCTCCTCAGGCAGGCGTGCACGGACAGAAGACCTGTGACAACTAACTGGAACACACGAGGGTTGAGAGGCACAGAGGACGGCTTCTGACGGCTCGGGACTTGGGTGGGTACAGGAGCAGCCCCCTGCAGAGGTGAAGGGGTCCTTGAGGAGAGGTTTGTGTGTCAGATCTTTACGCAGAGGTCCTCTTTGTTCACACTGAAAGCCTTGCCCTGTGGCTCCATCTGCAACTCAGCCTGCCCCCTGCCCCCTTGCCCGTCTGTCTCTGGCATCTCTGAGGGTGGCAAGTGCTTCTTCACCTCCCATTCCACGTGGAGACTGGCCACGCCCTCTGCCTGATGACACACGTACCCGTACACACACACACACGCACACGCTCCCTTTCCTGCACCTAAAAGTGCCCTGCTTTGCTGGAGTCCCCATGGGAGAAACGGGGCCCCTCCACACAGAAAGAAGTCTCAGTTATGACACGGACATGCTGGGGTGCAAATATTCCATCCCACACTCCTATACTGACATGGAAGCATCTCTCAGCGCCTGGATTCCAGCAGAAAATTATTTCCCTGATGAAAACTTAAAAGTTCAAAGGCAACCCAGAGGTTATTCTCAGGCCTGGCTTCAAAGCGAACCCTCTTGTGGTTGCTGGGTTTGGCTTTTCCACTCAGCCAGGCTGCAAGGAGGAGCCCAGGGGATCCTACTGACTCAGCCCAGGCCTGCGAGGCGGGCGGGGCAGAGCTGGCCCCGAGCCTGGCCGTGTGTCCCAACCCTCCCCCCTGAAATCACACACCATGCACAGGGCTGCCCCAAGAAGGGGTGTCTGCCCCACACCCCATAGCCCGCCTCGCGCCAAAGCCCAGGTGATGCTGGGGAGTGCTCAGGGATTGTGCAGGGAACAGGGGACAGGAGCCCCAGAAGTCACCTGAGTGGGTCTCACTGTCCTCAAAGTTCAAGAACCTTCACTCAGACACATCGAGCAAGGTGGGACGCTGAGGCCATGCTCTCCTCCAGCATCATCATCTCCACGGAGGCACAGGTGGGCCCCACAAGCAGCCACGGCCCTGGCCGGCCCCCCAGGCTGACCGGCGAATGTGGGACTCTCGGGGGAAGCGTAGGAAAGCCTCGAGAGCAGGGCACCTCCTGGCCCACAGAAGAGCGTTTTTACCTGACAGATCTAGCAATACCGGAGCGTGAGAAGCTCCAATGAACTGTAAATAACACACCGAAATGTCCAACTTAAAAAAGAACGGCTGTGAGATTCGGACTAAAATCCTAAACGCCTTTCTTCACCTTTTCAAAGAGAGTAAACTATGCAACACTAAGTCAGTCTCGTGGGTGACTCGGGACGATGACGACGCACGTTCATTAGGGGCTGTGCCCCATATGCAGCACAGTGAGGACGTCACACCCCGCAGGAGGCCCCGCACCCCACAGGGCAGTGCCGTCTGAGTACGCCCGGCTGTCTGTCCACGCCTCTTCTGTATTCTCTCTTACTGCAGGCTATCGAAGTCATTCCTAGTTGCTGTCAGCCTACCTCCCTCGGCCACTGCTTCTGTTCTC